TAAAATTTAATTTAAAATTACCTAAACGAAAATACATTCTCTCTCTCTCTCTCTCTCTCTCTCTCTGTATATGAAACTCTGTATATGAACTTCATATCTGCATGCATCCGTTCTCTGTCATTCTCTTCAAACGATTTAAGTATGTTCTTTTGCGTTTTATCTTCATGCGTATGCGTGTGTCGCAAACAAACTGTCTACGTTTAAGAGTTAACTCCACGTACCATCAGCGTACCATCGGCGAAACTTTGTAGCGCGACGCGTTTTACTCGAAACCGTCCGCAGACTCGGCCGAGATAAAACCGACTCATCGGTAGCAAAGAGCGAATAATCTCACGAGTCCGAGCAGAAAGAGGATCAGCCTTCCAGTTTTTCCTCTCTATTATCTATTATCGCCGTGTCAACCGATCGGTCTTTACCGACGGCGATTTCGAGCGTATACGCGGACGAATATACCATGAGGCCTGATGCCGCAGAACTCGTTCAGAACCGGTTCCCGCCTGGTGTCGATGTAACGACGATGGGACGCATTTCTTTCTGTGCATCGGCTACTTTCGTTTTCACGACACCTCCTCGATCGCTTTGACACGAAACGAGCGCGGAATGCGCGCCCGATGTCGCGCCATCTCAGGCGGACGGAGAGGAGCGCGGGACTCGCGGGATTCACATAAGTTTTATTCGACGTTTTCAGAGTGACCGTTCGCGAACGAACGAGATTCCACGGGAAAATAATATTCGGCAGCACTTTGATTTTGCAACAAATTCTCTCGAGGACTTTGCAAATGTAATTGGGAACGCGGTTCTTCTTCTTCTTAATTAAATAATCGTGGCTCGCACACGCGACCTGCGTGATTCCCGATCATTGGTACGTCGAATGTTTTAACTCACTTGATGTTTAATTAGTTTCTCGATCATTTTGTATGCGATGTTTTTCTCAAAGAAAATATATCGATAATGGTTTTAAATGATAACGAGTCAAAGGCAAAGAAAATGTGAAATGCATTCGCTATAATGCTTAATAAGCGTAAAAAAATAAATAATTAAGAATATTATGAGGAACGTTTAATAATAATATGCAAAGATATCTTGGCAATTTTTCCCCCTTAAAGTACGGTAAACCGATTAACTTCTGATTAACTGTATTTCCAATGAAAAAACCATTAGTAATTAGTTACATTGACGTCATAAATTGCGCAAAGGCGGCTGTTCGATTGCGCGGATAACAAATTGTAAACGATCCGCATAAGATGCATTCACCGATCCGATTGGCGATTCACTTGACTCATAAAGGACTAATTAATTAAACGTTCTCACTATGTAAACGAACTGCCGCGTATTCACGCTGCGAGTTCACTCGTTGAAACCAAATTAAAACAACGCGATACAAATGAGCACGGCGGACCTGTTTTCTGCCAACACCCGGGATTTAATTTCGCCCGACGGTTTCTCCCCGCGATCGCCAGGCACTCTTTACATAAGATCAACCGGATAAAAAGCAATCGTGCTCGTCGTTTGCGAAATGACAGGTACTTTGTGCTCTTAATATCGCTATCGTTCGATCGTAAATTGGCATTTGCGCGAGCCGCGCTAAACATCGTTAAGATTAGTCGACAGCGCGATTACGAGGAAGCTGAACCTATAATAAGCACGTCATAATTTTGATCGCCCTGCCAGTATGGTAATTAACATTTATCTCACATTTAATTCACATTATCCTTAAGCTCACGTCGATTTACGCTTGAATCCTCATTTTGTCCCGTCGCGATTTTATTTGATATGCTGTACATGTATAATTAACGTTTTCTTAAGATTATTTCCTTCGGTCGGTCTTCCGTTTAGTATAATAATAATCATAGTATAATCTAAGGAAAGATCAAATTCATCAAATGCTCGAAATTGAGCGAATGATTGTCTCTAAAATGATTAAATTAACGAGCGATTCTTAATAGCGTCGTGTAACCAATCGTCAAATTATTGCCTCCTTATTCGAAATGTCGTGAAGATAATACAGTTATAAAATGACGAGAAAGACTTAATCCGCGCGTGTCCTTTCAAAAAGATTCTTCGTATCTGGCCGACGATTCGCATTTGCATCTGCGGATAATTACAGATGCGCATATAATAAATTAAATTGTTTCTTTAATACGTTAACAAATATATTAACATATTGACCGATTGCCATATTAGTTAATTAGGATTAAATCTGAATTCATTTCGAAGCCGATCGATCGATTATTAATATCATAACAACATTGATTGATATATTAGTGGCTATTTAAGAGCAAGGTTATCTTAACTGAAAAGAAAATTGATAAATAATCGGAAAAATGTAAGTTTTTACAATATGACATATCGTCGTAAAAGATGTATGAAACAAAATATTGATATGGGTGTAAATGTAAATTAATTATCAATCATAACTTGAGCGACAGGTATCTCTTGACTGCGCTTTCAACATTCTGAAAGATCGTATCAATAACGGGATCGCGAGATCACGTTCGGTAACTTAAATTAATGCGCCTGAACGTGAAGCCATTTGACCGTGACCGGTTTCGTCACAGCGATTACGCAGGCGATTCTTAATTTAACGAAGCATTCAATCGACTTGGAGGATCCTGAAAAAGATCTTTGTGAGAAAAATAGATTCCCGATTATCTCAGATCCGTAAAATCACTTCCCGAATCTCGGTTAATCGGTTCACGAAAATAATTCCGGATCAGAAATGTGAAAATGTGAATAAAATCAGTGGCGGTCGGAGATAAACCTGGTTTCGTCCGGACAGATATTACTATCTATTCGATACTATAATTTTGTATTATTATACGCATTACAGCGAGACGTTTCTCTGATTGCAGGTGTGAATTTGCAAAATTGCACGGCCGGTCCGTTTGCCAGCGGCAATAACGGCAGCGCATCGCGGCAACGTCTAATCGAATTGTCACATGGATTAGGAGCACTCAGGCATTACAACGATCTGGCCAATCACGTGTTATCGTTAAACCAGCAGGGCGCAGTCGTTACGAAACTTTTAGGTGAGTCTTTGTAAAATGTACTCTTACGGATTTACCGCGAAACCGCCTCGCGCGAGGAGAACCGTGATATTTATACGGTCGATATTATACCGCACGTTTGTTTCTTATCGTTGACGATAAGAATATGCAAATTATTGGGTGACATTCCGAACACGAGAACTTACGTTAGGGAAACTATTCCGTTGACATGTCGCTATTATATTCGTCAAGCACTATGCCTATCGTGAGTATCGAGCGCCATGCACGCATTATGTACGCACGTAATTTAGATACGAAGTCAAGACAGGAATTATCCATTTATATTCCACGTTCCGAGAATGCCATCTTCCAGAAATATGAAGAAAATAAATATTGAAGATGCACAAGGGAGGATTTTTCAAAATCGATATACGGAAAGTTTTGTCGTACTTGTCACAAAAATAAAATTTTCAAGTAGATATTTTATGAGAAAAAAAACAGATAGATTGACAACATTTTTTTCATATTATAGTATTGATATTGACGACGGTTTTTCCTATCTCTAAACTCTCTCTAGCTTTCTTCTAGGGCTACTTTTTAAAGATGAATTAATAATTTTATTTAAATCTTACTTTGCACTTTCTTGGACGATTTTCTTCCTCTTTCGATTCATTATTTACATAATTCTCGATTGTGTTTTCTTTGTTGTGATTCACGCGGCAATTACCGGCGACCTCAAACGATGCCGCATTAATATTTCGAGCGGTTCCAAGCGAGGCAAAGAACCGGAGGGAGTAACATAGAATTCGCAGGGCACGGACGTAACGAGCATCATGAAGAGCGCGAGCAGCCACTCAAAGCTCGTTAGCTCGTGAAAATTAACACATAACAACTACTTCTTTCAAGCGTTAAATTTCAGCATCTCGGCAACAAACTTGAATAATGCGCCAATAATTGGCGTAAATCATTAGCTTCTGCATTTTGACAAGCTGATGCAAACTTTTGATCTCCACCCTTTCTTAAACTCGATAGGTCACGAATTCGCATAATATATCACATATATATTTTTTTCTAAAACCACATTATATCGTAATAAATTCTGATAAAGGTATTATTTACAATAAATTATTTACAATAAATATAAATATAAATAATCTAAATATTCCAAATAAAGTACATTCTGAGGAAATGAGAGGAATTTTCTGAGGAATTTATTTGTAATATTTAGGTTGTTTATAAATATTATAAATAATATAAAAATTTATCGAATTTATTTATTACGATATGCTCTGTTTCGCTTTCCTTTTTGGGGTACTTTTCTTCTTCGTGAATATTCGTGTTGCTCCTCCCCCTACCTTGCGCTTTCGACCGCCATATTCCGCGAGTTAATACAGATCGGGGCGCTTTCGCCAGGACGGGCACGCGAGTACCGATTTTGCACGCGAGTACGCGGTGAAACTCGCGGAAATTTAAACCCCGAGCGCGATCGGGAATCGTCGGATACCCGCACGAGCGAACGGAAGCCCGGCTCGCTCGTTCGAGGAAAGGCCAGAAACACGAGGAAGCCAAGGAGCTGTGCAGGAAGAAGTAAGGCGGAGGAAGAAGAGGAAGAAGAAGAAGAAGAAGAAGAAGAAGAAGAAGAAGAAGGATCCGCGCGCCGAGAGAGGCAAACATAAAAAATGGAGGCGAGCCACTAAGCATCACCGTGGAACGTCGGAGTTTCTCTCTTTCTCGTTGACCTGACTGCCTACCTCGCGGTCATCGTTAACTTTACGAGCCGCTCGTAAAAATACCGTTCGTGGCCTGTTCTCTCGCAGCGCGCCGGTAATGTCTTCATCTCGTTGGATACGGACTCCTTAGGCATCTCGAGGTGAATATAATGTACCATAATCGGTTAACCAATTACTTAACAGCGAACAATTAATCCCCGCGGTGCGAGCGAGTGATTCGCTGCGCGTTGACACGCGAATCGAGGAGGGAAACGGCGTTCCGCGACACCTCGTCGCCTCGTCGTCGCCAAGAACAGACATGAATTGTAACGCGTTACTTCATTTGACTTGGTTTCTTTAATTCTTCAGTTCTCTACTTCGTTTGTGAAAAGTAAAACTAAAAATACTCGACTCGATTATATCGATTCTCGATTGCCCTCAGAAATTGCGGCTTCGGCTCTTCGGCTGTACTTTGTCCGAAACACAGAAAGATTCAGTTTCAAAGCCGGATTGAGAGACTACGGGTATAAATGGCCGAAATTTCAAGCGTGCTTGAGAATAAGCGTGCTTAACATATATCACTACTTGCGGTCGTTAGGATAACTGGACGGCAATCGAGTGGATGGACAATGCCGAAGGCGTTCCGGTTGTTTGCTCGTAGCTTTCTATCGCGACGCTCTTCATACACGTCCGCCATGTAATTACGCTAATCCCTCATTATCAATTCGTAAAAGAGATCACGTCGCTGGCGAGTCGCACGCATGCGACGCGCGCGTCTCTGAATGCGGCCTTCTCGCCCCGTAGGCGACGCCCGTAACCACGCCGGGTCCCGACGTCCATCCACCGGGACTGCTCGCGAGCAGTAACCCTAACTGGCTAACGAAATTGGCTTCGTGCGGTTTCTTTTATTAAAAACGGTGCTCCGCTCAAAAATTTTATGTACGCACGCACGTAGGCGCGCATGCATGTGCACAAGAGCACAAACCGAGAGCGAGCGAGCGAGCGAGCGAGAATGAGTAACAATGAAAAACAGCAGCCCGGAGTGGGATGAGATCGGCGGCGAAGTGGCGTAAGATAGATACAGGGAGACGGGAAGACAGAGAGAGAGAGAGAGAGAGAGACGTTGAAGGATGACGAGAGGAAGGGACGGGAGAGAAGAGAGAAGAAGAGAGGGAGAGACCGGGATAGCAGGTCGAGGTAAGGAATTTGCTCGCGGCGTGGATACCTATTAGGTAGATACATCGTTTATATACCCGGCACGCACTTCATCCGTGGGAGCGCACGCGATACCCTCTGCCGGGTTTAGCCGTCATTATTGTTATTAATAATAGTACGTAACGACCGATAATTGCTCAAGTCTGCCTGCGCCTCTGGTTTCCATTACCTCGTCACCGCGTCTCCCGGCGTCGTCCGCCGGATTGACGGATACCTCGTCCCTCCCCGTTCCTCCCGCTCCCCCCCCCGCAGATATGGATCCTCCTCGGCCGAGGATCGCGACAGAAACGCGAACGACGGATGATGCATGCACACGTACGAGCGACGTACGTCCAACGTCCTTCCACCGATGAATCCGCGCGTAATTGGGGTCGGAAGGCGAGTCTCGATGGGACCCTTTACGACGTGGTTGACGTTGATATTAGCACGCGAGCGTGACTCTCGTTTCTTCTCGCTTCTAATTCGCTCGCGGGACAAAAACAGCGGATACGCGGTGTATCTCGAGCGCAATATATATATAGCGCTTTGGATGTATACATGTCGTTGGTAAGAACGTAACTTTGTCGACGAAAAGGGAAAAATGTTTAATAATGCCTAATTGTGATAACAGCCAATTCGAATCCTATCGATATTTGTATACATGGAAAGAACAGTCTTGTTGGATATAAATTTGAAAAGTAATTTTGTTGGACCATTAACATAATTATGTAGAACGTTCCAATTAGTTGCTAGAATATAAACAATTAGTTTTTTTTTTAGTATCATCGTCGTATTTAAACGTCCCACATAGTAATTTTAATGGCCCAACAAAATTATCTCTCAGATTTGTATCTGACCAAAATTTTTAGATCCTAATCCAATTGTCCTTTCCGTGGACAATTTAATAAAGTTATCAGTTATAGTTAATATTACGTGGCAATATGATTACATTATAATATATCGATGATATATATAAATTAACGATACATGCTGCTTCACTTAATTTTTGAAACTATCTATAGATCTTTGGTATGAAATATTTCATAATATAATCCAACGCATTAAAATTCCATTAGTTAACGTATATCTCATTTGTATGTCTTTTATGGTATCAACATCGGTACAATCGATGATATGCATAGCCTTTTTGTACTTGTAATATGCTTACGGAGCGTCTTAACATTCACTTGTAGGTACTAATTAATTCATGACTAATTGACTGCTGCGTCGCTTATTCCCACGAGTGGTAAATTATAAGTTTGGTTTCTATGGAATATATGACAGCGGTAGACCTAAATGGCAGATCTAAAATACGTGTATTCTTGCCGAGAATCAATAGTAACGTTAAATAACGTTAAAAAGGAGAGAAATTATGATGACAAACCGTGATAATCTTTATAAATGGCGTCGATTAATCTATACGTGCAATTTAACTCTTAAACAGAGTATGGCGCGCGATAATGACAAAAATTATCACGAGCCAACGCGCAGTGGTTACACGTATGCAGATAATTTTCTCGTATCACGATGTATATTACGTAAGTATCCTCGTGCTGTCCTAATTGCTGCATCATGAATCCGCCCAGATGCGAAGATAGGATTGATATCCGTTTGTCGTTTGGTAGCACGCGATGTTAAGCGTTGCGTATATTGCGATATATGCCGCCGTGACTTTTGTAATATTATATGTTGTCATTTGTATCTTCTCTATTTCTGACGTACGTTTTCGGACGTCGTACGTCAATGTTCTTTAATGTTTACCTTAAAAGACTAATGAAAATTCACTTTATACCGAAACAACAAAGTCCAAGGCGATCAAATGTTCGTGGAGCAGAAACATGTTACATTTAGTACGTTCGCAATTATAATGCATGATATTACAATTATCACTTTTTTCACATCAATCAAAGCCCGTGAAAGATACATTCGGACTCCGAGGCGCGTGCATCGCGTGATTTTCGGGAATTACGGCGAGCTTCGCGAGTTTTGGCGTGACCGAGCTGCCGAATAGGGTGCAAAATATAAATGTGCCATGCCGTGGCGCCATTTACGAGCGATTTTATCGAGGGCCAAGAGTTTTGTGCCGATGCAACGCGTCCTTGAAGCCCGTTTTATCGTGTTTCAGGTACGTTGCGCCCGCCGGGCCTGATCGGTGGCAGTAAGCCGAAAGTAGCGACACCGGCTGTCGTCGCTAAGATCGAGCAATATAAAAGGGAGAACCCGACGATCTTCGCCTGGGAAATTCGGGAGAGGCTGATCTCCGAAGGTAAGCTAATAATGTCGGAACGACACTTATCGGGAGGCCTATCCGCATGCATATGTATTTGGATTAAATTGAGACGAATTTATGGACCGTGCCACATTTAAGAATTACTTGCGATAGGGAAAATAATGACAAGTCGATAAATGCTTTATTTTTTTCGGAGAGAGAGCGAACGTGTTAAGTACAGATGTATGAATTCGAATCAAATCGAATTGAATTACAGTGAAATTCGATTCGATTTGTTTTCGAATCTGAAAGATTCGAGATCGAACAGTTCGAGAATTTCGAATCGTCAATGATTCAATTTCGAATTTCATCGCCTATTTTGATTGCTTCATTTACATCTCTCGCGCGACTAATTTTGTATCTTGTATATTGCTGTGCATTTGTATGCGAAAATATTATTGAACACTAAAATTCTGCTACCATTGTGGACCCGATGTAATTGAAAATATTAACTTACTATCTTACTTTCTTACTATTTTTAGAATTATGTACATATAAAAAAATGAGCTTAATGCTATAACAAATCAAATGAAACTGATTGTGTATGTAAAAATCATTTATTCTATTAATATCTGTTTTAGCATTGATCTAACATGCATTAAATACAATCAACGAATGAGTTAACAAATGATTAACATTCCCTCTACGCCTCTTTCCTTTAAATTTGCTATAAAAGTCATTTTGGATCGTAATCGTTTGTAATATAAATCTGAGAAAATTTGATTCAAATTTGATTCGATTCGATTCGATTTGATGTGAAAATTTCTAATTCAATTCGATTTCGAACATGTTATCAAAGATTTGATTCGACTTGATTCGATCTCACAAATGCACGATTCGCATACTTCTAGTGTTAATAATCGCAAAATCGTAGGCATCCAAAAGACAATACCAACATGACTAACATTGACATTGACTAAGATTTTTCGCGGTATATCTCTTAGAACGCGCTTAGTCACAACGTCGAGCATGATGCATAAACTAGCGTGTTCTTTACTTAATTATGCTCGTCCTCTGTAAGCCATGCGAGTGCAAACCGCCCATGATTACAGATGTACGCATGAGTAACGTGTAATTTAACGAAAGAATTAAGAAACACGTTTCTGCGGCCTTACTTCTTGACACAGATACCACTCTCCGAGCATTGTGCTAACATGAATATCATTACAATCTTCAGTAAACATTGATACACCTTTTACTGTAACGCAATGCCGTTGCTCGGCAAAAATTCGACGTAGCATTAAAAATTGCAAGAGTATAAACCAAGAGTATAAACCATTTATTTGAACCAAAACTAAATGACAATGCTAAATATATTTTAATAAATATTAACGTTTACAAAAATTCATTACTGCAACGCAAACGTTTCGACCTTCAATATGATCACTGTCAGTACGAAAATAATTTATAAAGATAAATTAAATAAAAATAAATTAAAACGTTATTCCCGATACATGTTAAATTTTATTAAGAAAAATTCGAGGCGTCTTACAATTCAAGATATAAAATTTATAGATGAGAAGGCAGTACACAATACTTCGTTTTAAATCGAATTGAGTTGTTATAAAATTGTTTATAACAGTTGGAGTTAGATGTGACTATACAAAATATATTTGAGGGAATGAGAATCAACCAACGGGAAGTAAAATATCTCAAGAGATGTGTTGAGATTTGACATATATGTGTTAAAAATTGCACACTCAGGATTAACAATAATGGAATTATTATAAAGAAGAGAACTCTATATATTTATAACGATGCCTTCCTCGTATTCGCGTTATGTGTTAATGTACCTCACGATACTTTCGTGAGGTACATTAACGATACGACTCGTGTTCATCACAGCGACGGTACTCTCGCCTGTTCCAGGAGTCTGCAGTAACGCGACAGCGCCGTCGGTCAGCAGCATCAATCGGATACTGCGGAACCGCGCTGCGGAACGCGCGGCAGCGGAATTCGCGCGGGCCGCCGGCTACGGCTTGTACGCGGCCGCCGGGCCGCATCCGTACTTCAATTCGCACCAGCACCCGACGACGAGTCATCATTTGCCGGCGGGTTGGCCGGC